AATGGCCAGTCAGCACGTGAAAAGAATGGTCATCATCATCAGTTGGTGCTCTCACACATTGTTGGGAGTGTAAAAATTGCACAGCTACTTTGGTAAAAACTCTTGGCAGCTTCTTTAAAGACTAAACATACACATCCCTATGACCCAGCCATTCCAATCCTAGGTATTTCTTAATATATTTTTTAGTTTTCAATTACAGTTGACATTCAATATTATATTAGTTTCAGGTGTATAACATAGTGATTAGACATTTATATAACTTGCGAAGTGGTCACCTCAATAAATCTAATACCCACCTGGCACCATACTTAGTTATTACAATATTATTGACTATATTCCTTATTTTATATTTTACATCCCCATGACTATTTTATAACTACCAATTTGTACTTCTTAATCCCTTCCCTTTTTCACCCATTCCCCCCAACCCGCCTCCCATCAGGCAAATGTCAAAATATTCTGTGTATTTATGGTTTCTGTTTTGTTTGTTCATTTATTTTGTTCTTAAGATTCCACATATAAGTGAGATCGTATGGTATTTGTCTTTCTCTGTCTGACTCACTCAACTCAGCACAATACCCTCTAGGTCCATCCATGTTGTTGCAGATGGCAAAATTTCATATTTTTTATAGCTGAGTAATATTCCATTGTGTGTATATACCACACCCTCTTTACCTATTGATCCATTCAGGGACACCCAGGCTGCCTCCACTTCTTGGCCATTGTAAATAATGCTGCAGTAAACATATGGATGCACATGTCCCCTTAAAGTATCGTTTTGGATTTCTTTGGATAAACATCCAGAAGTGAGATAACTGGGTCCCTCTCTCTCTCTTGTTATAGCCTTTGTTTTAAAGTCTATTTTGTCTGGTATAAATATTACTACCCAGCTTTCTTTTTTTCTTTACATTTTCATGAAATCTCATTTTCCATAACTTTACTTTCAGTCTGTGTGTGCCTTTTGATCTGAAGTGAGTCTCTTGTAGGCAGCATATATAAGGGTCTTGTTTTCTTATCCATTCAGCTATGCTCTGACTTTTGATTGAGCACTTACCATTTACATTTAAAGTGATTATTGATAGGTAAATAGTAATTGCCATTTTATTTTCATATTTTTATCTTTTTATCCCTTCTTAAAGAAGTTTCTTTAACATTCTTGTAATACTGGTTTGGTGGTGATAAACTCCTATCGCTTTTTATCTGTCCTTCAATTCTAAATGATAGCTTTACTGGGTAGAATAATTTTTGTTATAGGTCCTTGCTTTTCATCAGTTTTAATATTTTGTGCCAATCCCTTGTGGCCTGTAAAGTTTCTACTGAGAAATCAGCTGACAGTCTTATGAGAGCTCCCTTGTAGGTAATTAACTGCTTTTCTCTTGCCACTTTTAGGATTCTTTAACTGTCTTTAACCTTAGGCATTTTACTATGATGTGTCTTGGTGTGACCCTCTTTGGATTCATCTTCTTTGGTACTCCCTGTGCTTCCTGAGCTTGTATGTGTATTTTCTTTGCAAAGTAGGGAAATTTTCCATTATTATTTCTTTAGATAGGTGTTCAATTCCTTGCTCTCTCTCTTCTTCTGGTACCTGTATGATGTGACTATTGGTACACTTGATAAGGGGTCCCAGAGACCCCTTAAACTATCCTCATCTTTTTTTGTACTCCTTTTTCTTTTTTGCTGTTCTGATTGGGGGTTTTCTGCTACCTTATCCTCCAAATCACTGATTTGAGCCTCTACTTCATCTAATCTGTTGATTCCCTTTAATGTATTCTTTATTTCAGACTGATACTTTTTTGTTTTCTATCTCCATTTTTATGCTTCCTATCTCTTTGTTGAAATTCTTACTGAGATGTTTGAGCATCCTTATAACCAGTGTTTTGAACTCTGCATCTGGTAGATTGCTTATCTCTATTTTGTTTAGTTCTTTTTCCGGAGCTTTGTTCTATTCTTTCATTTGGAACATTTTTTTTTNAAGTTTCTCCCAGAAGTAAGTTTTTAGGATCAAAATAGGCATTGTACATAATAATTTGGCTTTTGCCTTTGGAAGTTCAATGCTATAAAAATTTTTTAGCATATGTTTTACAAGTTTTAGTAAATATCTCCTGTTGTCTGTTTTCTGTTGGTTAATGTAAATGTGTGTGTGCATATATATTAAGAATAATATGAAGACTATATATATATATGAAGAAACTGAAGAACATTTTTAAATTTGAATTTTGAAACAGACTGACCAACAGTTATTGAGAGAGCATAAACAATGACAGAATAGAAAAATAATGAAAGCAAAGAAAGCAAACTCTTAACTAATTTCACCTTTTTTTATACCTGTACAAAAAGAGTCCTTTCACCATCTGGTTCTCAAAAGGAAACAGACAGTGGTGGTGTTACTTTCTGTTTCTCCTTCGAAATCTAAGGCAGTAGTGCTGTACATTGTAATATCAGTGGGGGACGGGTAGCTTGTGTTCCCATTAAATGCCTTTTTCTCTCCCCAATCTTGATTTCAGGTGTCAGAAACTATTTAAAAGAAGCATTGGTGAATATAATTGCAGTGCATGCAGAGGTAAGCTATCATTAGATGTTTCTAAGAGATGTGGGTAACTGAAAGAAAAAGAAAAAGAGGCAAATTTGGTGGTTTTTCTGGTGGTCTTTTTTCCCTTCAGAATATATCTTGAGCATAAATAAAACAAAACTCTACTTTTCATGCAAGCACACACATGTGTTTTTAACTATGAGAATCTTTTTCTCGAAATTGTATGCTTTTTCTCATAATTAAAACAATGTATTGGTATTTGAAAGGTAAGGAGAAGAGAGATTGAAAAGATGTTTGCCCTTGGATTGAAATAAAGATTAAGCCGTTTTCTCGGAGAAGTTATTAACTCTTTTTAACCAGTGTACTAATAAGACAATAAGCTTTGGTGTCTTACTCATGTAGCAAGGTTGTCTTACATGGTGGCCACGATTCCAGAAATGTATGTGCTTGTTAGGTAGGAAGGTAGGCTTCCAGGGCAGGCTGCAGCTGGGAAGCAGACACATGGGCTCCTGTCCATGGCTGCTCGGGCACATGTAGATGTTGGTGCTTCTGGTTCATGATGAAACTTGCCCTCACTTGAAGCATTATCACCTTCAGCTTTATGTTAACATCTTGGTTAACATCCTTCTTAGGAGGACTCTTCTAAGGAACATCAAAAAAAAGAGACCACAACTACCACCATTATCACCACTGTGACTCCCTGTTCTGTAATTTCTGTCTCATTCACTGCTTTGCAGATACTTTCAAGGTGGCATGACTCTTAGACTGATTGGTGACCAGATAAAATGGGGCTAAACAAAGAAGTTATCATAGCATGTTATATTTTTCATTTCTTACTAAAGGAAAGCATATAAATCCCTCTATAAAAATAAAGTTTTTATACAACTTAACTCAGGAATTATATGACATATATCTTTTTATAGTGAGTAATATATTTTCAACCATGACTTTACCAAAGATATAAAAATGCTTTCTTGTTAACGTTCAGTAAAATTAGAGTGTACAATTAAATCATCAATCAAAGCATTTCTGTGGTGGGTAGACAGGTGGTAGCAGAGGAACTGTGAAATGTGTGGGCATTTTTAGTGATAATGATGATTCCTAAAGAGATAGCTTTGATTAATGCCCATTATCAATAACTGTAAGTTATTAGGCTTTTTAAGCCCTCTTTTAATTTATCCCAGTGATTCAAAGTAGAATTTCATTCATAATGTTTATTATTTGCTATTCCCCACATGTTAACTTGCCAAAAATGTTCTTGCTATGTTTGGGTTGACCCAAAGGTTTAATACTGGTGACTCAACCTGAAAAAAGGAAAATCTAAAAAGAAAGTATGATTTAGTTTAATTTATAAATCAGAATAGTAAAATGTTTTGCCAAATTTCCAAATATAATAACTCTTAGTTGGAAAATATCAAAATTCAAAGTTTGAAAATAATGTTTTATGTCAAATGAATGCAAATATATATTAATTCAGCAATAGTAAAATTGAGGACTTTGTTGTCCAATACAGAATAATGTACCCAGTATGAAATTATGTTTGTTTTGATCTAAGGAGAGGCTGACTCAGTATGTTTTTTTTTAATTGTGGTAATATATTCACCCAGTATGTTTGTATTCCTATAATTTCTTTAGAAATCATATTTCTCTTTGTGTAAGGGCAAAAGGAAGAAGAACTTTTTAAAACGATTTTTAGTTTGTCAACATCAACAACCTTTCAAAATTGTATTCACCAATATATTATTCAAAGGATAATTTTTTGTCATGAATCAGTGAATACAACTTAAGTATTTAAGTCTGTATTTTCCTTTCATTTATAATTCTGATCCTTTAAAAATATGATTTTAAAGATGTGTGAGTTAATTTGTTTTTTGCATTCCTTCGTTGTTAACAAATTCAAGTCAGGCAAAGTTCCCTTAATGCCCCATTTCTCCTTATTTTAAACCTTCTACAGGTGTTTACTATTTCCAAAGAACTGGTGCCTCGGGTCCTATCCAAGGTAGTGGAAGCAGTTTCGGAAGAGCTAAGTCGACTTATGCAGTGTGTTTCATCCTTCAGCAAAAATGGAGCATTACAGGTACCAAAATTACTCAGTTCCATATTGCACTTTTATTTTCATTTAAAAGTACAGATGTATTTGTAATCATCAACTTTATGATATGCAGACAGGGCTTGGGTTGTTTTTGTTTTGTTGTTTTTTGTTTTCTGATGGGTCTGCTGATTTCAGATCTACATTGTCTCCCTTGCATGAGCCATCCCCATTATGCGTTGTCTGCAAGTTCAAGTTCCGGAGTCTTTAGAGTAGAAAGTAACAACTCTTGTGAAATTATCTGAATTCAGATTCCTCCTAAAGTTTTCTGATTTTTTTTTTCATTTTATAGTTGCCTTCATTACATTTAATTTCACAAGAAATTTTTAGGAACTTTTAATAAGTTTCCAAAGTATTCAATGTAGTTTGCATAATAATGACAAATTACTGTCTCTTTGTACTTATCCTTCATTGGTTTATGTTGTAGTTACTTAAATTACATAATCACAATAACAAATATAACTTCTATAAACCATATAATTCTTGGTATGCATATAACCAATTGGTAGGAGCTACGGTGTGCACACATGTAGAAAGTGACCTACTACATGTAAGCTTTCAGTGATTTATAGAATTGTGTGGTTTAAAAAAGTATCTTATCAGGCCAGCTCCCTACAGATAACAACTATAATCTTGAATAATATGAAAATTTAAAAAAAACAACAACACATGAAAACATTGGAGAATAACCATTAGTGAGTGATTCTGGAAGAAATGGCACTTGGGAGAATTTCTCACTTTTTATGGGACTGAAGGAGGTCCCAAGGGTCCCTAAAACTCCACAAAACCTGCATCTTTTAGGCCTGAAGAATAGGGCAACCACAACTACAGGAAAGTGAGGGTGGTATCACAGAAAGCAGAAAGCAAGAGCTACAAATTCTGTGTATACTCAGCTTAATCTCTAGTTTTCTCCTAAACTGTATATGCATGGTGAAACTCCACTACAACCTGCTCACTTAAGACTAGAAAAACTGAAGTAAGAATTAAAGTGCTACCTAAGAGCTAAGAGTTTTCAGTTTGAGTCCAAATAAGTAAATTGC